TTTTTCTTATTATTGTTTATTTTATTTATTTATTAGTTTCCTATTCCATCCATGGGAAAGGCCGGTGCCCCAGCAGTGGGGACATTAATAGGCTGATGATGAAGTTTTTCATCCCAGAACATTTATGTTTCTGATAAAATGGGGTTAAAATCGCACAATGCCGAGAAAAATATGAAACAATTTACTACTTTTAATTATACAAAACGAAATTTTACGCAGTTACAACATTACATAGTAAATTTCGCAACTTTTATAGTATAATTATTCATCATCATCAGCCTATTAATGTCGCCTGCTGGGGCACAGGCCTTCCCTATGGATGGAATAAGGAGATTCGGCCATGATCCACCACGCGGGCCCAGTGCGGATTGGCGGGTGCTAACGACTGCAGATGCAGCCGGGACCCCCCGCCCCCCACGACAACGGCTAACTAGAGCCGAGGTCCGAGTCTCAGAGACGCCCTCTAGTTGAGCCGACCCCCTCAGGTTCGAGTGGTCTGGAGAGTCCAGACGGAGTGGAGACTCCCCCCGTGGGGAGACGCCATCCGACTGGAATACCTCCAGAGGCACTCGCCAATTCTCGGCTTGAGGTCCCCTTAGGATCTCGCCGTCCCCAAACCCGGTGACGCTGTAAAGGTCATCTGCGAAAACAGCATACACACTCAAAAAAAAAAAAGCCGGGACCAACGGCTTAACGTGCCTTCCGAAGCAGAGTAGATTTTTGTCTGCGTCGCTGTTTGTAACCTTGAGTAGACAAAAGAAATAATATCCTGGTTTTTCAATCTTCTCGAAAATTAACTAGCGATTTGGGATATCATTTTGCCCCAAAAGTAAAGCAAAGACGACACCAACTACCGTCGTTTCTTCTGCTTACTTTTAGCTGGGCTTATCAAATCTTGACCGCTGAATATAACTACAGTGGCTGCACATGCATATATGTACTCCTTATCACAAAACGACACCTAGGATATCACATAACGTCATCAAGGATTTTCGCAGCCCGTGCCGAGAATAGGGATGACGCGAACTTTTCTTTCTTTCGTCTAATAAGTAGATCATCAAAATTTCTTTACCCGCGAAATCAAAACAAAGAATTATTGATTTGAAATGTCGTATGACGTCACGTTTTGGTTAAATTTTTACTTTGAAGTGATGTTAGGAGCCCCCACTCCCAAACTTTGAAGCACTATATAATTTTTTTTGGTTCATTGACCAAAGAGAAAATACGCGTCTCTTCGCATTGTAGGTAACCTTTATGTTTTTCTAGTTATATTTTCTTTAGATTTAAACATCAAGCAGTTACATGCTTAAAAAATAAAAATTATAATTATCTGTCAAATACAACTTTTCGTTCGAAAGTTTTGTCGGAAATAATACTTAATATATATTTGTGAATTAGAGTAAGCCTACTCTAATTCACAAATATATATTAAGTTTTTTGTTAACAAATTTTTGTTATTACAGTAGGCTTAATTCATAAATATGAATGGTGCATTTAATTGTCAAACTATTTTCGGACGAACAAATTTTCGAAATAAAAAAGAAACAGAGTAAGAAACGTGCGGCGATCGAAAGGAGAATGCCCATATTTGGTACAGCTATGTCTCAAGCATCAAGATAAAAATAATATGATAATTATTTTCTTTAATTTATACATACGTTGGTCTATCAAAATGACTATTTTGAACAGGGAATCATTCTAGAAGTAATATTAGTCATAGTACTGTTTTATATTTCGAGCCGGATATGTGACGTTTGTTTATTTATGGTGAAAATAGTGATACCGTAATATCCTATTAATTGAACATTTTAATCAATTGTTGTTTTTGTTACCGATATATGTGCCATTAAAAAGCAAAAAATCACGTGTTACCAATTACTGTTTAATAGTGACTTTACTGTGTCTTAACGGTTGCAATGACAATCAAACCTTTGCAGTAGGTTGGAAAAACTGTGTGAGTAGTTGATCAAAAATAACGCAACAGAATAAAAAAGTACCCGTAGTATATGTATTGAGAATTTGAGGTTATGTCACAATAACATTTGTTACAACAACATTAAAACCCCTGTTATTATTTTCAAAATACCAATTTGTCATACTAATTTGAATATTAAACGATCATTTAACATTTGTTTAGTATTGATGCAATCATTGTACGGTGGTCCATACATCCATGAGCATTCTCCTTTGGTTTTTCGTTGAAATAGAGTACTCGTAGGCCTCCCGTACTTTATCCCATCATCATACTACGACAATTGCCGTCGGTAGAGAGGGCTCAAAATAATCACTCGGCAACAATAAGCTTGATTTGGTATTTATTTTATACACTGGCGGTCAAATAAACCGGGCCTCTAGCAATCCTCGAGTTCAAATGCAATTTCCTTCGAATGTATGATCGCAACTTTGTATAAAGTGGTACTGTTAGATAGGTTATTTTGAGATAGAATTGTTGTTAGAGCAATTGAAATAGCGCGGTAAAATAATAAGCAGTAATGAGATAAAATTAAATAAGTAATAAAATATATTTTCACAAGATAAACAATTTAGCAGACAATAGAGAATAGCGATTGACAAGTTGTTCATATAAAGAAATCATAAAAGCTTGACAGTTCGGTGGCCAGCACCAACATTTGTAAAGTATAACCCTATATATGTCGAGTTTACTGACCGTTGAACAAAAACGGTAATTTGTAAAGTTTTTTTTATTTGTAAAATGCCGAATAAAAATCGATGCTTCAGTAATGTGTATTACCTCTTCTAGCTTTGATAACTACCTGCATCCTTAAACCCATTGATCTTATCAACTTAACAACAAAATCGTGTGGGATGCCGTTCCATTCTTCATTTATCACTACTCTGAGCTCGCAAAGGCTCCAGTCTCCTGATATCTTCTATAGACACTCTGTGCCGCAGAGCGACTCAATAACATTTGAGCAACTCGACGTTGCCTAAGGCCCGTTTGAAGTATTGCGACGGCTTGGCGCAGCTTCCTGAGGTGTAGTACCAATTTTAATAAACAAAATCGAGCGTAAGTCTTAGACTAAGGACTATTAAACCACAAACAAAGAAAAATCTTAAAAAATCGAATACCATTTTTTTTACTTTCAAACCAAAAGCAATGTTATTTGGTATAAAATTAATGAAACTGTTTAAGTCTACCCTCAGAGTGGGGTAAATTATGCCTCACACTTTTTATTTTACCCTTAAAATAAAGCCTATAAAATAAATTATCTACAATTTTATCCATACATTTGAGGGACATCGTATTTGAATTTATACATTGGTAGTGGACAGGTTTATTTAAGCGCCAGTGTAGTTAAAATTGTAAAATATATAACATACAAGGTAGGTATAAAGTTAAAATATGTGTAGGTAGTCTAGTAGATTAAACTAGCTATAAATTACAATTGAACTCAGCCCATTTTGAGTTAAAAACTTATTATTTTAAATCACTTCAACCAAACAAATCACATGTGACGTTTTAATACGTTACAATAGGTGTATCTATTACGAAGTTTCTGCTGGACTGTCAATAAAATTATTTTTAACAGACTTGACGGAATTAAATATTCAAACTAAATTAAAACCATAAACGAACATTTTAAAATTAGCGGTGGCCAAAAAGGTCGAATGTGAATGAAATTCTGCACGACAAACGTGTCTCCCGCACAACGATATTAAATACCCTAGATACACCACGTGCGCTCAAAATGTATCCCAACAAGAAGTGCTTCAACTCCACTTAAGCACTTCTTGGTTCACAGTCACGCGCGGACCGTTGAAAACTCAAGATGCCGCAGAGCTCCATGAAAAAATGCGACTAAAATACTAATAGTATGTAAAGTGTCGTTTTTCGACAGGCATCTAAACAATGATTGTTAATTGAACGCATTTGAAGAATTACTAAATAAAATTCTATTCCTAAATTTTGTTTATAATAATTACTATTAATTGATTTGATAGAAAATATTTTTGATATTCAAATGCATGGTCGGTAATATAGCCGTCTCTTTTACGCGTGGTCCGTACCATGCGCTGTTGCTATATTGCTAACAACGCATTCAGTATTGCGCGTAGAGTCAGAGAAATAAGGTCTATATTCTTCCGCATATAGCAGTAAGTCGTACAATTTTATGAGCTTGCATTTCGAACCGTCATAACTGGTTGACGCATGCGTTCTAATTAAGACCTTATGCAGTGTACATTAAAGGTGACTTTCAATGTTTGAATAATGCCTTATATTGTTTTTAACTACGCAGTCATCAGCTCTGTAAGCTACGTGTATCGTCCAATGTATCTTTTGAACAGGTTTCGTGCACGATTTTGTTCGTGTTGGTGTATAAAGGCTATTTAATGTCGTTGCTCCCGCGTTAAAAAAATATTTTAATTAATTAATTAAATCAGATAACGAGAAACACATTCTCTTTGTAAAAACAGACGACGTGAAGTGCAAGCTGCCACTTTTTTCTTCCTCTTATTCTTTCCAAGACGAAAGCAAAGGTTCAGTGTACGTGAAGCCTTATTGAGCTACTGAATGGATTTTTATTAGATTTCGCAAGCATATATAGTTTATGAACAACTGGATTGAAACAAAAAGGATACTTTTTATATCGGAAAAATTTAAAGTTTAGGTATTAATTAATTGTAGGACCAATAGATTCCGGGAGCGTTCCAGTGAAGTGGTGCACACAGAGGTGCGCCGATCCTGAAACGCTCCCACATGGGCGTAGGAGGGTACCGGTGGGTTTGAGTGGGTAGGACCGGCGTTGTTCCACGGCGGGGAGTCCCACACAAGCCGCGCGCCCAGCCAGCGCGCGGTATGGTCCGTAAATGGATTTCCCATCGACAAAAAAAGGACTAATAGATAAGGCAAACAATTGTTAATAAGTAAAACGATATATTTGTACATGTGTCACGGGAACTGCTGCCGACAAAATGCATTGCAGTTTTATTCTCTGTGGAAATGAATAAATAAAAAAAAAATGTTTGCTTGTTCACAGGTTACGGTCATTCGACGCCGGCAACCATAGGTGGCAAGTTGTTCACGATGTTCTACGCTATAGTGGGGATCCCACTCGGGCTTATCATGTTTCAGAGTATCGGTGAGCGGGTCAACAGATTGAGTAGGTGAGTGTCTGTGATACAACTACTATTGTACAAATACGTGTTTACCACTTAAAGCGAAGAGCGAAAGTGAAACATAGAATTTGTCAGCTGCTATTCTTACGTAGATATCAGAAGCCTGAAAATTAATGTTTCTTATAATAAAACTAGTTTTTACGGGTTAATGCACGAAACTTTATTTATTTATTGACGTTTCGTAGCCTTTACAAGCTACGTCGTCAGAATCAAACTTTTATTTAATTTGTCGAGCTACCTTCGAAAGACTTTTATTGAGCGTTCGGTTATTTCATTGTTCGATTTTTAAAGTTTTATTGTCTATGTATGAATTTATTATTTAATTTACTTAATAAAGTATTTTATTTAAAATCCTTTTTTGTAATTTTGAGTTTATTTATTTGACCCTAACTACCGTAAACTACCACCGGTTCCAAAATTGGGAGACCTTTCTGAGAAGAACCGGCGAAACAAACTCAAGAGAGGCTTTCTATCTCCTTCTTATGTTAAATTATGCAAACAAAAAGAACTAATAGTATCTGTTGGTCTTGCAGTGTGTGCTCGGGGTTGGGATTTTATCTCCTGTATAATAGGTTCCCAAGCTGGTGGTATATACCAACCATCTTCCCTATTGAAATTTGAATATTTTTTAATATCAATAGCCTCGCGCATCATTCTAGGAACGAAACGTTTCTCAGTTGCAAGGATCTGTGGCTTATCAAATCTAATGTAATGGTTTGGTCCCCCTAATGCATGTTCACACACTGCAGGCTTATTTTCGCGCCTATGTTTCATATCTGCTAGTTTATTAAGTAAATTAAATAATAAATTCATACATAGACAATAAAACTTTAAAAATCGAACAATGAAATAACCGAACGCTCAATAAAAGTCTTTCGAAGGTAGCTCGACAAATTAAATAAAAGTTTGATTCTGACGACACACTATGGGAACTTTGACTCATTTTCATCTCAAAAATCTATAACTACTGTGTTAATAAAGATATCATCATATTTTTTTTCTGATAATCATGAATATATTTGCTTTTAAATAATGTATAATTTGTGTATAAAAGTTTATTTATAATACAAAAAATAGGATAACAAAAAATATACGATTTTTTAGACTTACATCTATGTTTTAATAAGTTTATAAAGGTAACTAGTAAATGTAATTGCTTAAAATTAAAAACAAACATCAAAGTAGCTCAAATGTCACTTAAGAGCTTCTTTTCTTCATCAAAAAGTTCTAAATATTTTTTAGTATAAGGTTTTCTCAAACTTGTAATTTACGGATCAGAGGTATACAATAGTGTGTAGAATATCTTCGTTGGTGGCTGTCCTCGAATATTTTCTTGCATTATGAAGCCTGAACTGTTTGTAGTTTTTGTTCCGTGACTCTTGAGCATCTTCTAAAAGTTACCCAAGAGGCAATACCGAAAAATGACGTATGACACTTTCACCATGAATCAAAACCTTGTGCACGGAAGATGGCACATAGTACAATTTATATTTATTAACATACAGTTGTGCTCAATCAAATCCTATCTCCAATTTCTGTTTTGGCTTAAGAACTGTTCTTTCGATCGACCTGCTTTAATACAGCGTTGACGAAACTGACTTATGAAAGACTTCTGAATACTTGCGATAATTTTAGCAATATTTGCATCTGAAGATTCGGAGAAATTAATTCGTATATAGATAGAGATGGAAACACCATAATTTGAATCACTTTCAAACAATAGGAGACTTACGTTGCGTCTGGTACACGAGAACAAATAAAAAAGAAATAATATTTAAAAAACAATTATTTACGACAAAAACTAATGAAGAACTGTAATATTTCATACTCAAATGCACTATTTTATACCGAAAATTATGAAAGACGTGTGCAAAATTAGTAGATATAAACTATTTTACAATTTTGCGGTATTGCGATTTTCCATGATTCTTATGGGAATGGGATCTAAATATTATGATAAATACACGATATTAGTATAGCATAAGATAAAAAAAATATAACAAAAGGGCCAAGAGCCTTTATTTAAGTGTCCGTGCTGAGAAACCCGAAATCAGGAAAGTCTTATTAAACGTACCTAAAAATATATGTTTTCACACGCTGATATTATAAGACATTTGACAATGTTATGCACTGATACAGCAGAAAAAAAATTGTTGCCGTCAAATAATATTATATTATCTAAGAAATAACACAAAAAACAGAATTTCGACAAGCTTCGGCAAATGTGAAAACTCCAACTGAAAGTTTAAGAAACGAAAATAGTCCACATTACGATGTAGATTTTTTTTAATTGAATTAAATTAAAAAAAAACTGCAAAGAAGACATTCTAATCTTTCTAAAATGGTATCACACTTACATAACTTCTTTTGTTATGATCCTATAAAATTATACCAAACTAACTGAAATCTAATTATTATTTTTGTATTTTTTTCATTCCCTGACTTTAGATGTTCTTCTTTATAAAATACGAAGACTCAGAGACTTAAATTATATTGATTATAATAAAGTAACTCTTTAGCTATAATTTGATGTGTAATACATGCCTCGAATAACAGTTACGAAAAAAGCATTTATGAGATGGCTTTCTTAGGCGGGTTCCCATAGTGCGACGTGAAACGTCAATAAATAAATAAAGTTTCGTGCATTAACCCGTAAAAACTAGTTTTATTTAATGAGTGATGTGCGTGAAAACCTAAGAAACAAATAAATTTCTTATAATGTTTGCATTTGCAGAATTAAGAAAAAAAAACACATTTTACACATTATTTTAGGAGTAGTAAACAAGCTTTATTTACAGGCTATAAACATCACTGAGGGCCAACGTTATAGCTGCATATAAATTATGTATGATTATATGGTGTTAATGTATGTGCATACGTTGTCTGATTTGAAATAAATAAGTATAATAATCTTGCTCCCATAGCGTTTTCCCAAAAGCGCCCATTCATCCGAGTTTTAGCGTTAGCCTAAGTACCCCTGACCATAAATGGATACGGGAGTTTACAAGAAATCTTATTATTATTACTAAACCTCCATTGTTCGTCTGTCTGCGACATGTGATTTAGGTAGACAGTTGAAATTATTACACATTCCATATTTATATTGCCTCTAGACCGAAGAGGGAAGATGACTAATTTTTTTCTCCGTTTATCAGGTAGATTATGAAAAAGTATTGGACACGTTTTTTTTCTTTTTTCACATAATATAAACATTGCAGAGATATATTGATTTGAAAAGTCGCATGACGTCACGTTTGGTACAATTTTCACTTAAAAGTGACGTCACGAGCCCCTACTCCCAAACTTTGACGCGCTATAACTTTGTCATTTTTTGGTGGATTGCCCAAAGAAAAAATAGGTATCCATTATTTTTTGATCATCTAACTGACGGACTAAATACAATTTCGTTTACTGTACCCCGTCATCACCCCTATTATAGGCCTACAACTTGTCTTTTTAGTTTATAACAAAAACAAAAGCTACCATCTTAGTTCAGACAAGACGTGGCCTTCAAAATGAAATATATACCACAGGCCTTAGGACGAACTTTGACAGCTCCGTATCGCATTGTCAAAGTTTCTATAAAAATTAAGCAGCGCCCCTACCGGACGTAAGAACAAACTGGTTGCTGCAATACAAAATTTGACGGTAACTCTTGTTATTAGAGGTGGAAATAACAAATATTTAATGTTGTTACATATTTATTAATATCAGAGTGGCACGCAGTAGAAAAGATATTAGACAGTGACAAGTGTCTACTTAACCATATTTAAATGTTTATATTAAGACATACATAATACGGCCAAGGTGTTCTCAGTGGGTAAAACAAGTAGGTTTAACCAATACTATACGATTACAGATCTGGCAAAGTTGGTGCTTGGGTCTGTGCGTTCTTAAGCGGGCTACTGACACCTGCCGTGGGGCAATCTAGGGGGCAAGAGTGGGGATGATTGCCTCTTTAATTGTGATGTGTGTGAAAAGCAGGGCGGCAGGGGCGCGAGACCACCCTTGGTTCCTGGATTGTACCTGCTGGCCTGCACGTTGCTGTGTGTGTAGCGCAATCAAAGCAATTTCTCAATCAGTTGGTAACTGTCACACGGAGCGCACGTATTTCGATCAAGATGGCGGCAGATCATAATATGCGTGAAGTTTGGTTTCAAGTGGTAGAAGTATATAAAGACCGGCCCCACATGTGGGACAAAAAAATACAAACATTATTTATTTACAATACATTTCTTTCTGTTGCCAATTCTTCACCCAGTATTTCCTTGTTTGCGCTAACACCATAGAAAGAGCCAAGGCCCTACCTACTGATCTTTTGATTTTTTGATAATACTGGGCCTATTATCAACGCGTGTGTTTAGCTCAAGTTATACCCGAACACTGAATAGCAGGCATGTGTGTAGGGACAAGCCGATATATCCCCGACCGCCGTGCGCCCTGCTGCAGGGATGTCAGTAGCCCGCTTTAGCACGAACTAATATCGAATTCGAAAAGTTGAATTCGATCTCGATACGCGTCTGCTATCAAGAAGTTTTGTATAGAAGATTTTTAAGTAAAACTTCTTTTCGGTTTCGGTTCTTTTTGGCTTTTACACCAAAAAGGAAAAATCCTATGGAAAAGATGAAACGGAAATGCGTCATGAGCGTCACATGACTCACCATATATTATATACATGTGTGTGTGGGATGCGTGCGCAGCTCTGCCCGACGAGCATAAAAGTTGCGAGGGTAACTCGGCGAAGGCTGAAACGCTACGTGCGTCACACGCGACAATATATATACCTATATACATAAATATGAGTGATACTTGCGCTGCTCTATTCCCCTATGCCTTATGCACCGCCTAATGTTAGGTTATCGAAGAAAAGAAGTTTCACTTCAGATGTGTGGTCCGTACACACATTTTTTTAAATTCTCGTTACATCCGTTGTGGCGCTTTCCAAATTTCCATGCAAAACTTTTTGACATTTGACGCGAATCGAGATCGAATTCGATATTGGTTCATACTAAGGGTACTGTTATGTAGTGTACCTCTAAGTAAGCAAATCATTTTCTTCCACAGTGTCATCATAAAATCCATCAAGAGGGCGATGAATTGTCAACATACCAACGCCTCAGAAGTGGATCTAATATGCGTTGTGACCACGTTGTCTTCTCTGACCATCGCCGGTGGTGCAGCAGCCTTCTCCAAGTTCGAGGGCTGGAGTTACTTTGATAGTGTCTATTACTGCTTCATTACTCTTACTACTATAGGTATTTTTTTCTAATTTATTATATTGTTATTTTAAGCAATAAACTTCTAGGTTTATTTATTAATAATTATTAATAAAAAAAATGTATTATGTAGATATCCGCGCACAGAATAGCCCGTACACACCACTATGTTACACAGCTTCAGATACAATGACAATAATGGCAGTGTACAACACTACGGTTATTCACAATAATTGCACTAGCAACATTTAACTTTTACAAATCGATCAAGTTCTAAGGAGAACACGGTGCCGATTGATATCGTAAAAAACTACCGTTCTCACAATGAGGAAAGAAGATTCCAATATTTTCCAAGTTAACTTACAAGCATGCCTGACAAAATTTTCTCTTCATGATATCTTTCCGCTTTGATAGATGTTATCTGTCACTGTCATTTTGACAACTTACAACTAGATATACCTAAGAGAACGATCGTTTGGAAACGTCGCAGCGAACGTGCATAGACAGTAAAAAAAAACACTTGGTCTGTCAATCCTCTCTGATACCCACCCACTGAGTGTATTTTTTGTAGTAACTAAAATTTTCAATGGACTTATAAATCTTTACTAATAGTATAAAGAGGAAAGATTCCTATGTAAGTAAAAAAAAATACTGGTATGCTTTAAAGAAAATCGTATGCGTCTAGTCTTAGTTGATTTATTTAATATTAAAATTGTTGAATTTGAGAAAAGCTTAGGTTATTACTTAATTCTTTTGTATATAAATTCTTTGTAGTCTGGCAAAACTACCATTACAAAGCTACATTATTTCTGAGTGACAAAGAATATATTTTAGCGCGTCAGTGTATCTTTCGCCCTTGCAAAACTGGGGCGGAGAATATATATTGTACAGTGTGCCAAACAAACATACGGTCCCCCTCATGGTGGATTTTCTTCGGACATCGGAAGGCACGTTAAACCGTTGGTTTCCACTGCATCTACTGTTGTTAGCACCCAGCATAAGAAATATTCAAGCTTACGGTACTTTTACCTTCCGCCGCCTTGGGCACACATGGTATGTGGTCTGATCTCCCTATTCCGTCCTTGGCGACTGCCGGTGCCATAGCAGCGTGGACATTTATAGGCTTCAATAAATCACACGGGAGGAGACAGAGGGGAGCTCGATGGCGCGGGTAGTAAGCGCGTTCGGCTGCGATCGTTAAAGTTAAGCAACTTTTGGCAATAGTCGTCATTGGATGGGTGACCAAAAATCTTCTATATCGAGTTACTCCGTGCTTCGGAAGGCACAATCTGCAGTCGTTAGCACCCGCCAATCCGCAGTGGGCCCGCGTGGTGTATCATGGCCCTATCTCCCTTTTCCATTCCATCCAGGCCTGTTCCCCAGCAGTGGGGACATTAATAGGCTAAGATGATGATGAATAAATCACACCCTATCAGGAAGTAATGTGCAAAAGGGACAGAAAATCTTGCATCATCATTTTCGATTCGTCAAACAAGACTAATCACGGAAACGAGATGCTGTTAGTGGACTATAATCAGAATATAAATCTATAATCTTTTTATCAGGATTCGGCGACATGGTAGCGTTACAACGCGACAACGCGTTGAACCGGAAGCCTTCGTACGTGATGTTCGCGCTGATCTTCATATTGTTCGGGCTGGCGATAGTGGCCGCTTGTCTTAACCTGTTGGTTCTAAGATTTGTCACTATGAATACGGAAGACGAGAAACGGGACCAACAACAGGCGGAACAGGTAAGTTGCTGATGCTATATTCGGGAGATTCCCTTTAAATATAGAGGGTTTTTAAAGCGATGGCTAGAAAATTTGTTAAAATCGTGGACGGAAAATCAGCTGTTCAGCAAGTAGCATTAGCAAAACTGTCGTTGCCATTTCCCAACACATAAAGCTACGAGGGGAGGTCAAAAAGTTCGCGGAATAAGATGAAGGAGGTTGAAATTAAACACCAAACTATTTTTCATTTTCAATATATTTTCCCTAAGCCCTAATACATTTTTCAGATCCCTGAAATAACTTGTTTATACCATAGAAAAAAAATGATTTGTCTTTGGTGTCAAAATAAGTCGAAATTGCGGACTTCACTTCTTTATCGTCGTCAATTTTATTTCCACGCAGCTCTTTCTTCATTTTTGAAAATAGTCACTGGGTGCCAAGTCTGGACTGTAGGGTGGGTGGTACAATTGTTCGAAGCCGCATCGGTGAATGGCAGCCGTCGCAACATGGCACGTGTGAACGGGTGCATTGTTGCCCCCCATGACAACGGCTAACTAGAGCCGAGGTCCGAGTCTCAGAGACGCCCTCTAGTTGAGCCGACCCCCTCAGGTTCGAGTGGTCTGGAGGCTCCAGACGGAGAGGAGACTCCCCCCGTGGGGAGACGCCATCCGACTAGAATACCTCCAGAGGCGCTCGCCAATTCTCGGCTTGAGATCCCCTTAGGATCTCGCCGTCCCCAAACCCGGTGACGCTGTAAAGGTCATTTGCGACCAACATCATACACACTCAAAAAAAAGGGTGCATTGTCGTGCAGAAGGAGCACACCTTTTTTGACAGCTTTCCTCTTCTTTTTTCCTTGATGGCTTCTTTCCATCTTTCCAGTAAAGAAGCGTAGTAGTGTCCAGTTATAGTCACACCACGTTCTATATAATTGATCAGTAAAATACCTTCTGTATCCCAAAAGACAGTCGCCATGATCTTGTCAGCTGATTGTGTCACTTTGAACTTCTTTGGAGGAGGTGTGCCTTTTTTGTGCCACTGCATCGACTCTTGTTTTGACTCAGGTTCATAGTGGTGAACCCAGGTTTCATCACCAGTAACGATTCGGGCCATAACTTCTGCCTTTGTCTCTCCACAGTGCTCCAAAAACTGGCGAGAACACTCGACACGCTCGCGTTTTTGAAGTGGCGTGAGCATTCTCGGAACCCATCTTGCACTGACCTTAGGCATCCCAAGATGATGATGTAGAATATTCAAAATACTTGTTTCGCATACTCCGATCATTGCTGCAAGCAGTTTTTTTTTTCAATCGGGCATCTTCCAATACAAGTTTTTCTACTTTTTCGACGATTTCCGGTGTGGTGGCCTCAATTGGCCGTCCGGAGCAAGGGTCGTTTTCAATGGACTCTCTTCCTTGTTTGAAAAGACCATGCCACTTGTAAACCATGGTTTTACCAGGGGCAGAGACCGCGTAAACCGCCAACAGCTCTTGAAAAATAATCTGAGCGGATTTTCCTTGCTTAGTAAGGAACTTAATAACGGTGCGGTATTAAATTTTCTCCATACTGGCTGACTTCTTCCCGATTCAGTTGTTTGTAGGTCGATAACTCAAAAGTTAATAACCCGATTAGGTTCAAACTTGGCATATATATTCTTAATGAGGTGCTCAACTAGTGCCTACCTGGACGAGTAAACCTACCCCCACCAAACTCTCCATTCCGCGAACTTATTGACCTCCCCTCGTAACAAAACAAATAGGTATTTAACCCCTGCAATGTAGCCTGAATAAGATAATAGATATCGACTCAACAAATTGCAATGTAGTCTGATTATTATGATATCATTGTCATAATCGAATGGATTTCGATTTAGATTTTCGAACGAATTTGGCCGATGTGTAGTAATTGGCAGGCCAGTTAGACAATTTTATTTCTAAGAAAATCTAACAAATGGACCTTCGAGCCGGATTGAACGGCTTAAGAGTGGTATTTTGGACCTATGTCTGAAACGGTGAGTTTTATGAAATACTAAAATAACCTAAATATTCTAGCCAAAAAACTAGATACACAGTCCCCTGATGGTAATGAAAGTATGACTCGTGTTATGCCAATCCTATCATCCCATCCCATCCCATCCAAAAAATATTTATATCTTAAAAAAATATAAATATAACCCACGTGACAACAAACTAACACAACCAATATACACTGCCCAATACACAGCAATTTTGCTGGCCAAGTTTTTTTTTTGAAAAATAAAATTACCTTCTGCTCTACACCTTTGTTAAGTTTAAGTTGAGCTATATGTGATTTTGAGTGTTCGCTAACAGTTTATGATATGTATGTATATCACTATTATTGTTTTTATACGAGGCGCAGCTAATTGCCATGTCATGTTAAGTGTAGGTGGAGTCCAGTCGCAAAGAGAGATGATGCGGCAGAACACCTACTGCCGCTGGCTGGCTGCTTTTAAAATTTAAAAAGGAAATTGAAATTCTCGATCTTTTTATTTCTTATAAAAGGGACGAAAATGTCGGCCAATAGCTGACCGTTAGATTCAATGTTAACTTAACAAATTAAATTTCCAATAACCAGGCGCAGCAAGTGGCAGTAAGACTAGAAGGCGACGTGATCACAGCGGACGGGGCAGTATTACGCGGAGTATCGCGCGGTACAAGATTGCCGGCCGACCCGAGGCATATCGGGACAGGTCAGTGGAGTATGTGTATTGATATAATGTAGGCACATGTATTCCTTAAGTTAATCGTCAAATATTATTAATGTTATAATGTCGAATAATTTGTTTTCGGTAGCGGATGCGTCTCTCATGCCACTGTACATAGACGAAGAATACGCACCTAGTGTATGCAGCTGTTCCTGTAACTGCTTCGGTCCGAATAGGTGAGTATCAATCAATTTAAATTCCCCTGACCTCTCTTTTTTGTTACATAAAAATATTGATATTGATCTTTCATAAATTATGGAACTAAGGGTCTACGCTGCGTTAAGCGTCTCCCGCTTAACGCAGTGCAGACCCTAAGTCTTACAGATTAGAACATTTCTGACCTTTAATCTACTCAAATAATTAGATTATACCAAGAACATATATTTTTCCATTTCCCTTTTTTAGTAAATTCTACGACTCCCACCTCTAGTCATAGGACTAAAATTCTGACTTAATAAAAACACGACGACTATTTTATCCACAGATCGATACCATACCGCGATCCGTTATCACCGGTACCGCCCACCAACATAAAACAGATCAAAAACAAAAACTACCGCGAACTAGGCGGCTTACCGCGCTACATAGAGAAATCTTCGTCCAAAAATCGTTCCCAAACGTTGCGGCTAAACTCCGCTTCCGGTTACCTCTATATGAACGCGAAGACCAACGACTTCCAAATAGACCCTGAAGACTTCAGGGAAATAGTGGCAAAGAGGCGTGAACAACTCCGCAGAGGTATGCTGATGTACGAAATGCGATACAACAACAACGAACAGTACCTCAACCCTTATAGGCACAGCATAAGCAATAGAGGATGCAGTCCGCCTTCTGCATCTCTCTACTCTATGAACATGAGGTCTGAGAACCGGAGCAACGACCCCTTAGTCGACGATTACGACTCGGAAAAGTCCAGCTACGCGAAAAAGAAACTCATGAAGAACATAGCTAGGAACACGCAGCGAATGGACAACTACTTTTACGACGACGCCGAACTGAGATTCGACGACGAATACGCGTTCGACGGTTCGATAATATTCGCGAAACGTAGAAAATCGCTGGAGAAAAAGTGGGAGGAGTATATGTGCGAATTGCCCAAGAACCCTGATCAGATATCCAACGACGGCAGTTACGGATACTACCTGCCAGATGAGGAAGAACAAGAACAGTATTTCGTCAACGACACTCTAACTTTCAACCTGCCACCGCATAGAGCAAGCATATAGTGCAGTGTTCGCGTGTCACACGAAACTCGTGCCAAATTAGGTTAGTGTTTGGAAACTAAAATAAAAGGGCCAATTAATTAACGGTTAGACTTTTACAATTTTTGCGGTAGTTTCGAGTTTGAAATAGCTTTTACACTTAGGATGGGGCGGTGCGTTTTTTTTTATTCAGCCTCGTGTACACTGAGGGGCAGTTTTGTCGCGATAGAGGTCGCTAGAGATGTCGCTAGACCTTTCCTGGCTAAGTTTATTTAGTCCTTTCAAAGTTGTTGCCTTTAAAGGTAGTATTGTTGATAATAATTGTAATATTAATTAAAACTTACGTAATTGCTCGAAACGCGTTTATGTTTTGTGCCTTATGTTGATATGGTTGATACACTGTACTGTAGCGATGTCGCGATAAATGACTTTTTATTGAAAATTTTCGAAAATAAAATATAGTCACGTTGGCTACAACGTGGAAAACCGGAGATGCTGTTACGAAATTATGTGCCAATGTTAAAGTTAATACGAATCAACCTAACTTATTGATCACACAGTCATCTTCGTGATATCTCAGTACAAACATGGTCACAGAAAATTTATCTGACTTGAGCTAAAAGTCGCTTAGTGTTGCAACTGCCAGTGTTGTCACATTACTTGAGCGAGTCGCGTCGTAGAACAATTGTCCCCTAGTGAACACAAGGCTTTATACTCTATGGATAAAGAGCTTGGCTTCATTGTAGAAAATGTAAGTAGTGTCGAGGTTGCTTGCGAAAGTAGAGCCATAGATCGGTTGCACGCTGTAGTTAGGTTCAAATTGGCATGGGGGATTCTATGAGGTTCACAATAAGAAATCGTTCTATTCTTCAAACTATTATACAGTGCTGAATATAATTTTAATGCATCGGAAAGAATTTTTTTGAAAAGATTTAGCTAAATTGTACTTAATAGCTATGAAAATATTATATAATAATTATACTTAATTGATGAGTATATTAACATTTTGTGATTCGACTTCTGAAGTTTTCTTTAGTACCGAGTACTGGTATAGCCAAAAGTGTTGAGTTTAAGGTCAAACCGCATTAAAAATGAATGACGTTTATTTAACTCGGAAAGTGAGTTTTGTGAAGTTTATAATTATATTGGTTTAACCGCAAATATAAAATAGCTGCAAGCTACAGTCAAACTGATTTTTGAGAACTATAAGGTCTTACTGTATCGTTGTAATTATTATGTATATTAATTTTACGTGCAACCTATAAGTAATATGTTACAGTATACTCATAGACTAATGATTTATGTAAATGTAGTATTCTATATTGTTTTTTTTTATTGTAGGTGCAGTCATTGATATAAGTCACTTGTGTTATTTATTATGACAATTAAGTCTTAATTGTTTTATGAAATTGGGATTGACAACTTTAAGTAAACCTTAAACTCGAAGCTTATCACATTAAAACGTAATGTTTTATTAAAAAGTTTTTCATGAATACCAAATAAAGCTTGTTAGATTATGTGACTTGTCAATGACTGTACCGTTCGGATGTTGTAAAACAGTATTGCTGGTCCCAATCTAGTCATTTTTATACTTATTTCCATTCTTCCAATGAATTAAGACTAATTTTGTGATGAAATAATTATATTGATAACGTTAATACACAAGCTATCGTTGCCAAAACTCCCACCGTGTCTCTCATTTATGCAAAAGGATTACTTTTGTCATTATTTAAAGAATGAATTGTGTATGAAAATGTTAAAAATGCATTTAAAACAAAAATGATAAACCTTATTCCAATGTAGTAAAGAACAATTTACAAAATCATTTATTACATGTATTAAAGTTTGTGTATTGATGTTGTCGATCAAACGTGAGAATAATATTAAGAATTCGGTATATTATGTAGTTTTAATTTTATTGCTTGGTTGATATTTTTAAGTATAACAAGTAAACGACGCTGATTTTTTGTATGCGATAAAGTCATTTTGTTGGTAACTTGTTAACTAATAACAGAAAACTATCTTTAAAAAAAGGCTTCTATAATATATTTAATTGATGGTCTCAATAGTGCCAATTCTTCTCTTAAATTATCGTCTACATTTCAATTAAGAGATTGAGATGGCTTGCCAATTGAGAGAGAAAAAGCAGAAGTTATGACTTAAAAATGTTAAGAAAGTACTCTATATGCATAAGCATAAAGTTGTTTTTTGAGTCATCTCAACTCTCATTAGACTTAAAACGTTAAACCTACGTAAGTTCAGTATTATTTTGCTCTGTGATATCGTATAGTTATCGTGACTTGTACATAATGTACTATTGGCTAATGTGCGCGACGCATGTATGAACGTCTAGTATGTGGAGTATCGTCACGTGTTTCAGACTAATTTCTACCTTATTTTGAGTGGGATTGCAGTCAAAATGCGAAGACAGATTACCACTGCCCGTTATGTTTGTGGTTGTTTTGATAACTGATTTTTGCTGCCCGTTGAATATTGTAACTATGAGCAGGAGCTTTACTCTCTTTCTCCGAAAAAGAAATTAAACGAACGAATTTTTAAACACAATTTCGCCAGCGGCTCTACTCTTTTTTATTTTCTAAAACGAACATAAAGTTCGGAATCACAATAAAATTTCGTTAACGAATGGAATGAGTCATGTTTGCGAGTTCTTTTTATCTCCACTTTATAGATAACGTTTTTACTTGAAATCAATGTTACTTTACGACAAAATTTTTGATGACATTGAAAGAACTTTCTTTGACAGTGTTAGCTGACTAATTTTCTGAGTTGATACAATCGATTGTACCTAAATTTGTCGTTTCATACTTCGAAGTTTTGGAAATACAATAATTAATAAAAATTTGGATTATTTGTTAATTTTATACGCTAAAAAGTGTTCCTCGCGCTAAGCAGCCTAGATTAAAAACACGCTAGGAGTAATTTTAGGCTTAATTAAAACGAAAATTAAAAGGTAACTCTTTTTATTTCGTCAAACTGCGGTTTAAATTTCGTCTGTGTGTCTGTCTCTCAAATTCAAGTTTTCGTTCGAAAGTTTTGTGAATTAGAGTAGGCTTGGAGAATTTAATTGTCAAACTATTTTCTGACGAACGAATTTTCGAAATGAAAAGGAAACAGAGTAGGGAACGTGCGAAATTTCTATCGATATTGCGTTTTTCGTTGAAATGGAGTAGGCTTCCAGTTGAAATAAGATCTATGGTGCATCCGATTTGAAGTTACTATTTAGAGCAACAGTTGCAAATTATTATTGTAGATGCTAATAATGCTGCAGGAAATCAAGTTTATTTTTTAACTTAAGTTTTAGGTTTAACTGACATTGGTGTCGATTCTAACATGATTCTCTAAACCTAAACTTAAATTTGGCAACCATGTACCCTTGTCATTCTCTATACAGAATGAAAAGGAGAGACTGATTTTAAATCGAAACCAATGCCAGTTAAACCTAAAACTTAGATTAAAAAAAAATGTTAATTACCTAACTTTATATGTATCAATAGAAATTCTAAATACACAATTTGATCTCAACATTTAATACCAAGCTATGTTAGCTATGGCGTCAGTAAGGGAGTATATGAAAGTCCATACTAATACTATAAATGTGTCTGTCTGTAACCACTTCACGCCAAAACCGCTGAAACGAAAAAGATGAAATTTGGCATTTAGATAGATTGAGGCCCGGTAGAGGACATAGGACAGTTTTTAAAAGGGGGAGGGGGTATTTTGGTTATTTTTTGCAAACATCATGAAAATTGTTGGTATATATGATAAAAAATCTTAAATAATACATTGCTTAACGTTGCTCTACAAAGTAACTTCAAAGCGGGCGTATTCCATAAAATTGTTATTTGTGCCATACTAGTTTAGCTTCTTATTTTACGTGCCAAATTGGATAAATACTGTATAGCTTTAAGTGACAAAAGTTGCGTTTTTTAATTAAATCCTGATGTCTTCATATCAACAAGTTTTGTTCACGTTATTAAAAATTTGTACTTTGCGTTGAAATCTAGATTCGGGTAAAATAATGTTGATTATAAATAAGAAGATAACGTTAAGTTGGCGATCTGTGACTTTAAGGCGAAAATCCCTTGATATCGATGGAAACTCGACTAAGAAAATCTATGAATCTGAAGTTTCCATGCAAGCGATTTACGCCTTAACCGTAATGGAGAACCGTTTATTTCGACTGTATGTAATTTAAGTAAACTTCCATGGATAAGGACTGCCTCCTTTGTAAGTTTTCCATTCGTGTATGTGTTGTCACTTTCTTTTGTATGGAAAGAGAGTGAGAGAGGGAATAAAATCATGTTCTAAATAGGAAGGTTTGTGAATATTGAGGTTAATGAACTGTGACTTATTACAAATCGAATTATCTGTGCGATTGGAAACTAAAGTGTAATGTGTGGAATGATGGTGGCGTTAAGTCATTGCGTTGTGCCCATAAAAGAAAAAAAATGGATACTATGAAATGAAACTAATTTTTTTTGGTAATTTTTGTACCTATCAAAATGAAGTTTAAAATTGCGCTTTTTTTAAAGCCTCTGCCTTATGCTTAGCTATTTTATTTAAAGCGATCTAAAGTTTATTATGGTATTTGACATTAGTTAGATGTGTTTGAAAACGATATACGAATTTGTTCACTATTGTTTAAAGACTTCATACAAAAACACGCCAACATTGCCCGTTTTGTTTTTCAAGTAAACGTTATTATTTCTGGATTTTTCAATGGCAACCTGTGTACTTTTTATTATTAGATGTGACTCGTAAGATCGTGGCATATTAAAATCTAATCATTTTCAGCTTTTAATTTGAGTTTTGGAGCATTTCGATGACAAGCAAAGTTATATGGACTTCTAGCCAACATTTCCCACTACGATTTCTGACGACAGTATGGTCTGTACGTTAAAATCTAAAAAAACTGTTGGAAGTATTTAAGAAAAGATGGCGATTACTTTAGGGACTTCAGTGATAGACAGGAAAGTTTTCTAGTAAAATGACTGGGCAATGTT